TTACAGACTTCTGGGGGATGTGTTAGGTAACAATAGTCTAGAGTGTGTACAGGGATTGGACAGGTAAGGGGGTACCCCTCCGTCCCATATCTTGCCTGGTATAATTGAAACGAACTCGGTTGGCAAGGCTGGAACATATTGAACTCTACGTCACGTTGCTCGAGTGTAGACCTTTATCACGAGGCTACGATTTTTGTTTTGGCCTTGTATATCAAACGACAAACGTACTACAACTTTACATAAAAAGGAAACAGCCTATTTCTTTCTTCAAGCAAAGCTGCCCTTGATAAAGATCCAGGATATCACCCCATACAACCTGACACGTGCGATAGCATGACGGGCCTATACCCATTTCACTTGAACACCACGTATTTGTGCAGTTCCCTCCCTACGCCTGAAGAAATAAAACTCAAATTGTCAACCGAATATCTGACAATTGAAGTACATCGAATAGAGTATAGAGCACTTCAGATTAAGTGTGCCACGGGAGAAGACATTTCATAACATGTCGGAGGCCATTTTATTTCAATATTTTTGGTCAAACGATGTCACACGCTGTCTCTAATTATGCCGAGACTAATGAGCTTGATAAGAGAAAAATTGAGCCTTTATGGCATGCCCTGCTGTAGTCATCACGTTGTTCATTTTTTTCGTAACACCTTGTCTTTTTTAAAATGTCATCTCTTGGCCAGAGATCGTTGGTCTCAATGAGAAAAAAAAACTTTAAAAAGCAGGTCTGTCAGAGACGGAAAAACATGTCGGAGAGGTATAATGAAATGTCTTCATCTCCAAATCCTTCCAGGAACGTATATCACGGGAGGCTGACGGTACATACCCCCCTCCCCCAAATCCAATTTGGACTGTTGCATCAATCCGAAGTGGGTCAAAAAGGGGGAATATTAACTGTTGCATCATTCCGAAGTGGGTCAAAAAGGGGGAATATTAACTGTTGCATCAATCCGAAGTGGGTCAAAAAGGGGGAATATTAACTGTTGCATCAATCCGAAGTGGGTCAAAAAGGGGGAATGTTAACTGTTGCATCAATCCGAAGTGGGTCAAAAAGGGGGAATATTAACTGTTGCATCAATCCGAAGTGGGTCAAAAAGGGGGGAATATTTACATACCGCCATCACCCGGGATTTACGCCCATTCGTATTCAGGTTTCCAAGACGACAGTAGTGATGCCTGGATACGACTTCATTCCAGGCTACAGATAATGTACCACCGTTTGGCATAGTTGAGGCTATTGTAATCTTCAATGATTTTAAGATTTTTATTGTGGAGCTCATGCCACTGATTCTCATGCCATGAGGTTCTTGACTCTGAAGCCTGGGTCAAACGTCGTGCTTCTGCCGCGTCAAATGCAAACGCGCGACAGATCGGTACTGCATAGTGTCAAATACGTCATTCATAACATTTCGTAACATCATTCGCCGATTTCAAAATTTAACGCGTCATTCTCACCATTTCATTCTGCACTTTTACCATTCAATCCTGCAACGCGACCTTTCCAGTCAGCAACTGCAGTGTCGAACTCATGTAGGCCTACGTGGACTTTGAAAATCTTGAAGCAAGACATTTGACGCAGGCATATAAGAATGAACGCGCGGACGTGCAGTTTCCATAGCTTTGCTCGAAGTGGTCTGCATGAGTGTATATGGAAACTGTCATCCATGAGGATACGTACTATTATTGAAGATTTCAAAGTAGTTGGTTGTGTCGTTTATGGTTCTGAGCGAATTAAATTGCAAATACCCTAATACTCTCCTTCCGATTACATGCCTTTCAAAAACAAGGTCAGTAGGTCAGAAATTATCTTTTATTGTAATTATTATTTTCATGGGGGAGGGTAATTTTCTGTGATAATTAAATGGGATATGCAATTTTGTATGCGAACTTTAGGCTAGACTATTTCTACTTCAGTTACGAAAGCTATTTAAATTTGCAACAAATATAATGAATGAAAAATAAGGCTTATTTTTTTTCTCGATAATTCTCTCTATGCACAGCATTACTCACGACCGGAAACTGACCGACAATGCGTAATGCATCGATGGGGCGCGGGTTGTGAAGCTGTAGCAGGTCGCGGTGGATCCTAAACGTAAATTCATGAACACGGAAAATACACAGGCAGCACACAGCACCGTTGCCAGCTTCAGTCATTAATGGGGAGGGGGTTCACAGTATCAGCTAGCTAGGGCCACATCACAGGAACAAAATATATTTTTCCTGTGTATGCTTTTTGCTGATGGGGGGGGTCAGCTTCCCGCCCCTCACCCTGCCCCCCCCCCCGGCGACAGGCCCGCCTACACAGACAAGAAATGTCATGTTCTATGAAGTTATCGACTTCAACTGCAGAGCAGCGTGCAGGTCGTGTAGTACGAGTCGACTGATCGCTGCATTTCCATTATGCTCCTGAGCGCGGTGCGGCGCGACGGGAACCGTACAGCATTGCTTCGTTCCACGGTATTGCTCACAGTCGCGGGCGCAAAGGGAACTTAAGAAAACTACCGGGGTTTCTTCTGAAAAAGTAAGTAGGCAAACAAATACAAGAAAGAGATTGTTTAGATCCACCTCGTAAAGACAGAACAGACTACAGAATTTTTGCTAATTTTTGTTAACTCGCTGGAAAAAATGTTCAAGTTAGAGTCGCTCTGTAGAAGAGTCGGTCAGGTGAGCAGAAGCAGAACTATTTGGTCATTTCTGGGGCGTTACTAAAAATGGCTGATGACATAATGATGGTGCACATGTTGTAAATCTTTTGTTTTGCTTCAATTTGGTTGTTTTTTGGTTTGTTTTGTTTTTGTTTTGTTTTTTAGTTGTTTATTCTTGCGTCATCTTTTTTCTTTTTCATTTTGATTGACTTGATGTGTTCTTTGCAGTCCTTCATCAAAATGCCGGAGTCAAAGAAAAAATCTTCGTTCTGCTGAAAAAAGAAGACTGTTACTCAGAAGGCAATTAAGACCACGGATGACGCTCGGCCAGCTGACAAAATCCCCTGGAGCAGCGCACAATTTGTGTATCCAGAGAGGAAGACACAGAAGGAGTTTTAACTGCCCGCGCTGTAACATCTGGCCAATTACTGCTTTCTGGCATGCCTGGTAAGTCGATAGCCACAGCGTGGCGAACGCTTGCTACGCACCATCTGTTTCACAACCACGAAACCACGAAACGATAATGGAAAAGTGTATCAAAATTTAAAAAGTTTATTTACGATGGCAAACGTAGGCCTCATATCAGGGATTTTTCTCTGTTCCTGGTCACAGCAATAATTTGTATTTAAATGCAAGCAAAAACTTCAAGTATTGCTAGGACATTACTGGTACCGCTAAGATGCAGGCAGTAATCAGGCATTTTTGGAATGTTTTCTATTATTCGTCTGACTCCGCGGCGACCATCACCGAACGCTTTGAAGTGTCAGAGTTGCAACTCCTTCTGTGTCCTTCCTCTATGGTGTATCTCAGGCACCAACGATTCTGCAGGGCTTCGCTTTTATCTGACGAAGATTTTTTGAACCACTCGGCTGAAATCTTCCAAGACTGAGCAAAGGGCAAGTCTAGGAGCGACTGCCACTTGAAATCTCTTCTGCAAGAGTGCTTCCAGCGAAACCAGCAACGGATAAAAAAACCTCTCTGATTCCAAGACGAAATCTCATTTAAACAGAAACCCGGCTGCAGGAATGATGGCAAACGTATGTTTTTGAAACCCTGCCAACTTTTATTTTAAAGTTGTCAAAGCAGCTTGTGTAAAGCGCACTTCGCCAAGCTGGCAAGAAAGTCATTGGACATTTGTCCAGTTGGAACATTGTACCTTTTCGGCACCAGAAAAGTAGTAAGTGTCTGGTCTAAATTGAATGGTGGCCTGCTTTGAGAGGGGGAGGTAGCACCGTGTCCTTTCTGAATGTTTCATTTGTTAATTTCAACTACAGATCCTCGATGACCCCAAGAGGCTCAACTATTGTTAACAGTTGGACCAAATCAAGGACAAGACTGTCTGTAGTTGAGGGTTTGATTACTTCTCCCCGACATGTAAAAATTTATCAAAGAATTTGACATTGCGAGTAAATGAGTTGTCGGCAGGAAGATAACGTCTCCCTCCCCAACTGGAAATCCACCAAGGCAAACTGCATATATATGGGCTTTCCATGATACCCTGCATGCTTGCCTTAGTCGCTCTTTACTGACCTCAGTTCACCTGAAAGTGGCTTGTAAAAACCACCAGAGGACATAGACAACTAGGCGATGTTTTACCTCAGCATATCCCGGCGAAGACTAATCGACACAGCTCTGTACACCTGTGACAAGGACCTACCACTAAACCTGTTCACCATTGGTCTGGGGTCGTTTCAAATTGAACAAAAAGCGCACATTGCATTTAAAAATATAGATGGGGTTCTAAATACATGTACATACATTACGTCACGCTGTATTCTGTCATCAGAAGCTACCTGACGTCATATTGTCCTTTGGCCTAAGTCACAAGCGCAGAGTTGCCAAACTGGCTGGAGAACTCTCTGGCTGGTCGCGAGTGCAACGCCAAAAGAATTAATAGAAAATGCCACTCATGTTAACACGGAGGAAGCGAAATGTGAAGTTTAGAGGCTGACGTTGTTAACACCCTAGGGTGAACTTTTGCTGTCCATGGGAAAATGTCAGGCAGTCAATATTTGCAAATGAAAAAGGCCGAAAAGGCTGGTCCTCTGGAGCGCAAAACTACATCCGCTTAGCGTCCTGCATACCCTTCTGGAGATCTCTTGAAGCTTTCTTTTCTTTTTATCATTTTGTTCACGCACTGTCTTGACCTGGATGTTCATCAAATCAATTAAGTCAATACAATTCACATTAAAAAACAATTACAAACACTGCTTCGTATCCTGATTTGCTTATTTTTAAGGTTTCATTGAAATGAAAATCTTACAATAAAACAAGCCATTTTCTACATATTATTAATCACCTGCATTATTAGAAAAACTAAATTAACATTTCACATGAGATAAGGTGAAGGAAATTTAAAAATACGTGTGATGCTTAAAAGTAGTAAGATAAAAAACTGCGGCAGTTGTAATTTTAAAAAACAGATAGTTTGCCAAATACATTCGAAATATTCAGCCTCTTTTACTATAGAGTACCAAAGTGAATGCACCATCAACACAATTATGAGTGTATTATGTGTCACAATTATGTGAACTATCAGGTGAACTATCAGGTGAACCAACATGCCCCTTTACTCCATTTGCTTGCATTGCAATTCCTGGTTCAAAATGACATCACACTTCGGTATTCTATGCTATAACATTTTTTAAAAAGAATGATGGCTGGAAATATGCATGCCACACGAGTCCTGTAAGAAATAATTGCCCTGAAAATAACTCTAGCCCATGGTACATAGATGTCTTAATAGGCAGACTTGACTTTACAGTAGAGGCATTGGCAGAGGTGCATTTTAGCACTGTTTTTCAGACAGAGACAAACTCTGGGATTTGGGGAAAATTTCCGGGGTTTGGGGGCCAAATCAATCATGTTATCTGATGCTGACACCTTGGTAGAATAAAGTTTGACCAAATCTGAACATATCAGTTGAATTACAATGATCGCTGCTGGCCAATATTCAACTGAACTGCACTTTCGGGCTCCCTTAGGAGAGAAGCATAACTTGGTATTGACCTGTTTCATTTCATCCTCCTATTCAATGCCACTTGTCTTCACCAATTAAGGAAAGCCAAACGCATGCCATACCAGCTGCCAGGCATGCTGGTGACTGACGTCCAGCTGTCCGTGGCAGGGTCATACTTGACTGCCGTGCTCAGGCTGCGCCTGCCGTCAAACCCGCCAGCAACGTAGATCTGCCCATCCGCCACACACAGCCCGAAGCTGCTGCGCTCGTGCTTCATGGGTGCCACCTGGACCCAGCGATTGGCGGCAGGGTCGTACTTCTCGACGGTCTTGAGCCACTTCCCATTGAAGCCACCGATGGCATAGATGCAGCCGTTCACCACAGCGGCACCCACATAGGCACGGCACTCCTGTAATGGCATAACAGTGTTCCATCGGTTGCCAACGGGATCATAGCAATGAACGCTGTTGTGGTAAATGTTTTGTCCATTGCTTCCTAAGAGTAAAAGCAATAAATAAATCAATGGTTAATGTTACATTTTTTTACTCGCACTGTTTACACCACATTTTTCATGAAACCTCTGCAGACGATCAATCTTTCTTAATACCATAGTATCGTTCTTTTCAAATTGACGACATAGAAGCAAGAAGTCAATAATGAACCTCTATAAAAAAGACAATGACATATGTAAATGTTAAGCAGTGCTCAGCAATACTGCTAGCATGAAGTACGGCATGGAATTAGCCTTGTTTCAAGAAGTTGACAAACTAGTTCAATTGGCTTCGGCTTGGGAACTAGTTTATCAACTTCTGATACCATGGAGAGCTAATATGCTGGTGCTGGCTCAACACTATCATGTGAGATTCAGTATCATATAAAATGATACTTGATCATATGATGCATGATATTTGTGTTAGTTTGAACGGCATGCATGTCATAAGATTGCACGTGTAATTTCCGGAGACATTGCCAGATCAAAGTGAGCACTCTGTAGTCATAGAAACCCCTACAAACCCCTAGAAACGTCTTTTGTTACGATTGTGGACAGAGGTATGTTTTAAAACACCCAAGGACTGGCAGAATTGAGTTTCTAGTGCATGTCTGTGCCACCCTCGGGCCTGTGAGTGACCAGAAGAGAGTCCTATTTGGCCTCGGGAATTCAGAGAGTCCTCTTGAGGAAACAGGACCCTTTTATGGTCACTGAGAGTCTCTAGGGGCACACAGACGTGCACTAGTAACCTCATTGCTTGTCCATACCATCCAGCAGAAATAGACCATATAATATTTGTATAGCACACCTGTACCACCGATGACATAGATGCAACCTCCTAGTACTACCGATCCCATGAATGCCTTGGCTTGCGGCAGCTCAGCGACATAGTCACAGACCCCGCTGACCGGGCAGAACCGCTCCATGGTCTTGGAGTAGCTACTGCCATTGTGGCCGCCAAAGACGTAGCCCGCGTTGTTAAGCAGACAGGCCTGGCATCCGTGACGCCCCTCCCTCATTGTAGCTACTTCCTGCCAGGCGTTGGCGGTCGGGCTGTAGCGCTCAACGGTGCTGATGGAACTGGATGATGTGGAGAGCCCACCTGGAGGGAGTTGAAGATATTGCTCTGGTTCATTCCAAGCCCTACTCGAAGTACAAGAGGTAATAGAACGGGCATGGCTAGACTTTTTGTAATGGGGGGACCATAAATTTATAATGGCCAGTTCAGATGGAAACAACTTTATTGCTTAAGGCTGGTCCGCAGCCAGATATTTCAAAGGTTAAGGGGGGTTGATTACCATCCAACAATTGAGCAAATAGCAATGGATTATATATGACGAGAGAGTATGCAAATCACGGTGTCCTCAAATGTCATCATTTACACAGGCATGCTGATGGCAAAAGGATTTTCTGACGAAAACCACTGACAGGGATGTCAGTCACTATTGAAGTTACTTTTGGTTGTCCCACATGCAATCTGAATACAGCATCAGCCACTGCAAGTCTGTGTCAGTTTCAACCAGCCACAGCTGGGATTGACAGTCATGTCTACAGGACCTGGCTGCAGCTACCAGCCATGTGGCTTCCATTGGCAAACATATTAATTCCAGCCATAGCCACAACTTCAGACACAGACTCAGAGTCTCAAAATAGCCTGAGTGCCACTGTCCTTATGACCTGTGACACAGGGTCAACAAATAATTTAAATATTTACACGAGCTTTTCAGACCACACAGAAAACAGGATAGCATGGTGTACACACCTGCCACGTAGACCTGATTCCCATCGCACGCGATTCCAAATGCCGACCTCCCCAATTTCATTGCTGCGATTGGCATGTCCCCAAGCTGGCCCGACGACTGACAAGGTACTGACGCGGACCAGCAGTCGCTGTCGTCTGAGAAGATGTGGCAAGAATTCAGGGAGCACCCTTCCTGCTCCCCTCCTACTGCGAGCAACACCTGCCGGTATATTTGACAAGAAACGTGACTGAAGATGCAGTGCCAATGCCAACATTTGCAGGGTCGGACCAATGGATCATTCCAACAAGAACACTGCTTGTGTCAAATTGTGAACACCCAGCTGCTCTTTCTAAGAACAAGGCATGTTCCCAAATTTGGACACTGGTCTACGTGAGCCCATACTATCTTGGGAAGGGCGTGTTCCTAATAGGGGATACATCACATTCTCATCAGAAATGCATCATCTTCCATGAGGGAGCATTCCAGAGGAAACATGAATGTTCAAACAAGTTGAGACATATCATACTCCCTGGGCATCTTTGCCAATCAAATTTAGTCCAATTTCAACACTAAGCAGCAACCCAACCGTAGATTCTTTAAACCTTTTGCAAAATTAACCAACAAGCACAATGTAAAGTTAGCAGTCCTGCTCCGCTATCGAATCCTTGAAGCTTTCAAGACAAGGACAGAAAGGAAGTACTTATGAGTTCTTACCTTCACCTTCTTCCTGTGCCCCCTGATTTGCACGGAGCTCTCTGCCTTATTGTTGACCTGCAATAGCTGGATGAGGTGCGACATAATGGTGCCCTCTTGCAATAGAATTGGCTCGGTCTCAATCTGGTCCAGCAGATACTCCGGCGAGAGGAGATGTACCGCCACATGCTTCAGGAGGGGCCAGAGCTGAGAGGCGCGCTGGGAGGGATCAAACTTGGCCCACTCAACTATGACTTGAAAAACCTGGTTAAGGGAGTGAGTTCAAGTTATCTCTACTTCACAGGTACGTGGCTATCCGGGATACACAGTGGTACTTGCCCAGTTGCTTGGCATCACATCAAGCACCATCCAAACTACATGTATGTTTCCTAATCCAAACAATACAAAGCTACGGACTTGAAACCCTGACCCCGAGGACATTTGAAAAACTTTGTTACAATGGGAGATTCAGAATTGTTAGGCATGGACTGAATACTTGGGTGTCAATGAAGGTTGCCTGACAGATTAGAGTAGCCACCAGAGAGTCGTTCGTGTGGGTGTAAATGTCCAGTAAATGAACACATGAATTTTTGAAGAATTTTGAAAACGGAAAATCTTGGAAACGTCTCGCCATCACATCCCGCTCAAGAGAAAGCCACCCGGCAGGAAGTGGTTAACCCTCCAATGCTGAAGTCACTCTTAGCATATTTGTGCTGTAAAACCATAGGAGGGTTGATTCATGGTCATGGCACGAGAGAATTCATTACAATTGGCCAAAAACTGTTAAATTAGGCAACACAATTAGAGTTTTTGAGAAATGAATCCAAGGCAGTGTTTCTCAATTTAATATATATTTTTGTTTCCTGCATGCAAAATTCTGGATTCTACAATGTTAGCTTTAGGCTATCGAAAAAACAAAACACCTGATGTCGATATTGATGCCCTCTAACACATAAAGCAAAGACCTGGAACTTACTTGCTCTTCACAATCCACTGCCAGTTCCTCGCATGCAATCAATGTTTCCAGCTCCGCCCCTGTCAACGACCGGAACTCCGCCTCCACCGACACCTGCCGGAAGTGGTCCCGGGCGTACTTGAGGGCCTGCTGGCCCAGGTCGTGGAAGGAGTACAGGTCGGCCAGACGCCACACACCCAGGCAATTGCTGGGGCCCAGGTGGGAGGCTAGGAACTGGCAGCACGCGCTGGATACACTGGTGACTTGGAGGAGACTCGCACAGGCCAGGATGCTCTCGACATTGTTTGACTCCAGCTAATCAGACAAGTTTGTACCCATGGAAGTGATTACTACAAAATACTATCCCTTTTATATTAGACTATGTCCCAGACACAAGATGCAAGAAATTATACATCTATAGCAGTCTGATATTATCTTTTCACAATTTAATTATTTTCTTCAATTTCCAAAAAGGCCTCAAAAATTAAGTCTTCAAAATGGATAATTCTGAACACTTTTTCCTGTGGTAGAACAGTCCCCTTCNTTGCATACATCCCCAAAAGCGTACCTTGATGGAGGCCGTGTAGGCATAGGACACCATGGCTTCCAGGGCTGTGGGGTCAACATCTTTCATGATGATGGTGTCTAGCCGACTTTCTTGCATGCTGCCCATGAACATAGCTTGAAAATAGGGGCTGCTAGCGGCAAGGACAAGCCTGTACCAAGAAAAACAGGATATTTAGGAAAACCAAGGACACGGAAAGGGAAATAATCATTAGAATAATACCTCACCTGCAGATTCTGTATCATGATCGGCTGAGAACTGGCCACACGACATTCACCACATTTGTGAGCTTGCTTTTCAGAACCAAAAGAACTACATGAATACACAAAGCAATCAAAGAACTATAGGTACATATATGACCACTTGCATCATATACAAATGCACACTGATGTGCAGGTTGCACGTCGCACACATTCCGAAGTGCCAGCACTACAGAGCTGGGTTCAAAACATCTCATAAAACAGGTGATTTGAAAAAGTGCTGGCAAGCTTTCACACAATTCTCATTCAAAAAGACATGCCTTTAACATGCATTCATTAATACCTCCTGACAGTCTCCCTTTTCAACAACGTGGAACTTGATTGCGTATTAAAATTTGATAACGCCCACCGAAAAGTGATAAATGCCAGCTGCGTACATATTTGTAAATCGTGTTTTGGCACATGGATACAACACAGTTTAATCGATTCTGAATGGACAAGAGTCGGTGAGCAAGCGGCTCCCCACGCGTGCGCCATGTCCATATAAGGAGATCCTTTTGGGCAACTATAAAATAAAATGGATGGGGTGTTTCGGAAAACAAAAGTAAAATTCAACAACAAAATCATTGGAAAACCATCATACATTGACTTCTTTTGACTCTCTGTGTTGCAGCAGTGCCGCGATTTCAGGGCCGTCTCGTGAGGGCGCGCTTCAAAAAAAGGCCACGCTTAGCGCCTCGGTTTATACAATTTAACAGAATTCGGAACAGGTTTTCAAATCAGCAATCATCATACATCCTAGGGGGTTCAGAAGTATTCAGTTGGGTAAGTTATCATTTGAAATCTTTATTCTGTCAAGGGCATTTTCAAGGCAAATAATGGAACCGTTTATATGGGTTATTTAGCTAAAATTATTATGGGTTATTAAGCAAAAATTATTGCGGGAATACATGTACCAACACATCTCCCGGCGTGCCTTTTCATCCTATTTAAATTGAAGTGATTAGGAGAGTGTAACGATAAAAAGGTCTTTATTAAACGTGCTGTTAATTATCTTTGTTTTCTCTTTACTTGAAGCTCACATATATTCAAGGGAGAGACAGCAACTACATACCGGGAGGGTTTTTTCTTGAATTTCTTCATAAATGCACGTCCAAGTCATCAAGTCAGTGTACCAACTTTTTGCTGAGCACGCAATAAACCAGATTGCAAACTAAACTTGGAAAATAGTCTACAGACTGAAAAGGTATTTATGAATGGGAATAGATATGTGCTTGGCCAGTCTGAAACTAACGTTTAAGACCCGCCACTCCCCCATTTATTCCCTTATTCAGATCAAATTTATCACTTATCAGTGCTGCAAAACCCTCCATGGAATATTCTATTTAAATAGAATGCTTCAGGATCATCTCAAGAGGCTGCTTACACTCCACCTCTCCAAGCAACCACCAGTTGTACATTATTGATAACAGTAACTTCATATTTACAAGTGAGAATTCCATATATCTCCTTGAAGGCAATGAAGAGGTTTGTACTGAATACATACTAAAGGTGGTAGGATGCCTTTCAAAATAACTAAAAGTATAACATGAATAATACGAATGACATTTCCTTTTAAAAATTGTGATTAAATGATTAAACGAGTTGCCAGCACAGGTCAAGGTCATCTGAAAATGCTCATTTGTTTCCCAATCTGTTAGAAATTGTAATTGTTCAGAATACACTGTACATGCATTTCCCAAATTCTCCTTTTACAGTTAAGTCAGTTTCTTCAATTGATAAAATACCTCCAAACAATTCTCAAGGACTCTTGTCTGTAACTTTCACCGTCAATGTGGGACTACGCTCCAGAGGTTTCTAAAGAAAGATGATGATGAACTGAACTGGTTGGTATTTCATTCACAGGCAAATCTTGGCTTTCGTGGGAGACAGGGAGCCTATTTCCAATTCTTAACGATGCCATTAGTCCTCTTTGTGCCTGAGGCTGTGTTACGCCCTCTGTAGTCTACGCGACAAGTCTATAGATGTATCCATTTTTAACCTGCTCAAACTGAATCTCACCTATGCGCCTGTAGACAGTGCTTGTCTATCTTCAGTGTGACATCGCAGAGGTGGCCCTCCTTGCGGAATCGCTCTAACATCTCTAACACTGTGCTGTGGTGGCAGCCATCCCTGTGCCATATCACTGGCTCCCCCATTGTCAACTCCCCTAATGCAGCTTAGAACCTAATTTTAAGAGTGACAGGAGAGAGATTACCGTGACTAGAAGAAATCACTGCGACATAGTACTTCTTCCATAAGCACATTCACGCATAAACTCAGGCAGCAATATACTCTAGAGCCCCACTTCTATAAGAGAACAAGAATTCCGTGTGGGACAATCATATTAATTTAAAAGCCAACCTTTTGGAAAGAATTCCATTTGCAGACGCCACTAATTTTTTCTGCTGTAATGAATAAGCCATCTGAAAGCAATAAAATGTCTTGAAACGTCAAATTTAGCCGTGACAATATTGAGGTATTCACTCAGAAAACAAAATTCTTCAGACCAGTTTCATAGGGTTTGCCTACAGGGTGTCAAGCTACCCCCAACACTGTGTAATTCATTGTCTGTCGTGCTCTAAGGGAGCAAACCCCAAAGTTCTGGGGGTAACGGCAAGCAGCATCCGTATATGGAATTCTTTCCCACCTTTCGACACTAATGTCTCCTTTTTTTTTAGACTTGTTGGTGTTTATGACATTCAAAAACGGTAATGGCCTGATGCCAAATTCTTTCACTTCATCAGACTCTCCTACCCTGCATTAAGACAGAAACTTGGGCTTCCATTTTTGGAAGAATATTTGGAAGAGAAACCATGACAAATGCACAGTCAATAAGCAATAAATTGACATAGTGTTTACTGTGATGATTGTAGTAACAACACTAGGCGTACTGAACATGTCGCAATATCACGTACTGCGCTCATCAAAAGATTCCGTTTTTCATTCATTTTTTCATGACTGGCTGGGTGAATCTCCCCCAAAATTAGTTTTGCCACGTTGGGAGTTGTTTTGTATTGTGGACTTTTTTTACAACTTTTTACAGGTGGTAGGGTATTCCCTGAACTTATCCTGCTGTCGGACATCCAGGAGCTTTTGTACATTATTGGATAGCACAAAGGGTAAATTTGCCCCATGTGTTAATGGACTGACAACGAAGTCCTAGAGCACATCTGCATGTATGTCCCCGAGGGACTGTGAGTGAGAAGAAGGTCCTATTTCCTGAGGCCGAAGGACTCTCTCTTCTGGTCACTCACAGGCCTGAGGGGGCATACAGTAGGCCTACACTCGTGACCAAATTTGGCCAGTTCATATGTGTTTTACAACACACCTAAAAACGAGAACAAAATACCAGGGTTTGAACTGTTTTATTCAACTTTCATTAGCACTTCAAAAATTGCAAAAATATTGAAGGTTCATTTTAGTTTTCATAGATGCAGTCTAATTTGGAGTTGCTACAGTCAACGAGGAAAAGAAATCTTCCAGGCTTTAAACTGTTTCGATTCAGGACAACCTCCAGAGGGCGCAATAAGCAGTCAAAAATTTTCAAGACTAGTACCTGACAGGACACTGGTCTCTGGAATTGACACGCATGCAATGTCTAGGCTTGTGTCAAGTCACACTGACGCCAGATTCATGAACTGATCTAGAGTGTACCACACGTGACCGTATTTCAGCCAACCAGGATAAAGAACTAGGAAGTGGTATGTTATAAAAGTCCACAATAATAATAATCAGAAATAGTGACTTTACGCCAACCGCTATCACACATACATGCTATCGCACATGTCTTCTGTGCATGTGCACATGCTTAGAAGACTTAACCATTAATAGAGGAAAACCGATTCATGACAATGTTGCGTAACTTTGGTGAATGGATGCTCGCAATTGTTATTGTATACAATTTGTTCCCCTGTAGCTTCGCTCACTTACTGGCACAGGGAGCACTAAAATCAACATGGTATGGAACAGGAAATTGGCTTATAGGGCTAGGAAGAGAATTAAAACATGTACAAAGGAGAAATTTCCCAAACAATACCCACCACTTGTCTTTTGTCAATGTATCGCTCAGTACGTTGTGGTAGTGGGCTGAGTAGACGTTACGCAACTGCCTCGGCCAGTCTCAAGTCAAGAGCGAGAAAAGTTGGTCCCAAGATGAAGATTACGGCCAACAAACAACAAAATATGTAGGCCTACGAGTAGTAGTCGGTAGTAGTAGGCCGCTATGCCTGTATCATCTCGGTCTACACGATTCTTGGACGGCAGTCTTCATCCTATACCATGGTCTGGTCAAAAAATTCTACCTCCATGGTCTGGTGTACTGCTTGAGGGGGTTTCAACTGCGAAAATGTTAGTGAAAATCAAGGCAGCAACTTCATGAAGTTAGTTGAGATAGTTCAAGAAAAGGTATTCAACCTAATTACAACAACCACGGGGGAATAAAGAATACAGCAACACAATAGTTACCCTTGAAGTAGTACCAAGGCCTACGCGATAACAACGAGATTCAATTTAAGCATGTTCGCCTATGTGAATTCTCTGAAAAGAATTTGACACAGCCTAGACGTTCCCATGTACCAAAACACGTAGTGACATCAGGGAGCCCGACTAATGTCGATTGAATAATTCTGACGTGTGGAGCCTCAGAGGTGAAGGTGAGAGCGCGACCCTGGGCGCGGGCGCCGGGCAGACGGCCGGGTGCGACCGGACCCTGGGCCGATCGACTCAACGGTTGACAGACCCGCCGGCAAGGCATGCATTGTACGAAGTCCGCTGGACCGTGCGAACGCTGTTTCTTGCGGTATGCCTATACAGCCCAAATTAGGGAAAATTGTGGACCTACGAAAATGTGCTCTTGTACATGTACGTCTTTGAAACTCACATGAACAAGTATCGATGCAAGAATAATACATCTTGAAATGGTTTCGCGGTACCCGCTACATCTGGCTTTATAATTGGACCCGACAAGCTCATATAGTCAAGTGGTAGACTCCTGCACTCGCTGCGCCGAGTCGTGGGTTCGAGTCCCACGCAAGTGAATTTATTCAAAGCTTACAGGAAAAGGATATACAATGTCGGTATACGTCGGTGTAAGGGCAAAACCCGTAATTAAATTTAACATCTTTACAAACCTGCTTTTCATTTGAGCTAGCAGCCTATTTGCAGCACAAAATGAAATGCAAAGTCGATTTCAACCACGTTCACTCTACATTTTTAAACCAGTTTACTTTGTGCCACAGTAAAGGGGGGGGGGTGCTGATGTAATTCACGCCTAGCTGCCACGCTCAGATCTTGCAAGCAATGATGGAGATAAAAGCATAACTGGATTTGCAGGCGGCAGTCGATCGTCATCGGTGACATGGCATTCTTTCAGTCAGTTTGCCACGGTCGAGTAGCCTACCGTGACGACTGATTGGGGTGACTGCGCCGTGCGCAGTCCCCGGCACTGATCGCGATAATGCACCTGTCAATTGTAATCCCGCCGCCACGGGGAACCAACCCGGGACTAATTAAGCGGGGACTTTATTTAATATCGTAAGAGGGACTGCAGTGGACAAAAAAGTGGAACGTCACGGCGTCATGTGTAATGCAAATTGTGGGGTGTCCGCATAACGCGGGTTGTTAACATCACAGACATTTTTACACAGGAGTAATTAATGTTTACGTGTATTTTCATGGCGTGCATTTTGAACGTGTCATATTTAGCGACATGCGCCTGATGATGCGCGCGCTACGCGTATACGCGTAGTTTGCATTACGCGATACGTCACATGCAGTG